AAAAAAAAAAAAAAAAAAACTAATACAGGTGCCTTTCCCACAATACAAATAAAAGAAGGGTAAAACAACGTTAATCTGCAAGACTGTTAATGAAGAAAATAATAAATCTCTACTCAAAAATGTAAAAGAAGACCTGAATAATTCCAGAGATATTACATATTCCTTAAAAATGTTACCATGGAAAACATTTCACTTATATTCAAATCCACATAAATACAATATGATTATGTTTCTATAAACGAATAAAACCTGAATCAATAGGCTTCCTTAGAATATTATCTTTACAGAATTTTGAAACTCAGATCAGAGGTGCTGGGGAGACCAGCTGATCTGACAATCAACAAAAAGTCTTCTGACTTGCCAAATTCAAAAGATATGCATTAAAATCTGTCATTAGGCAAAATAATTTGTGGTTTCTATCATCACCCTCACACACACAGAGCAATGAAAACCATAAGTTCAACTGATCCATACGTATTGCATGTAATAATTTGAAACAGAGCTGTTCATAATAGCTAGCTCCAGGTTGAGTGCCTAATGGGGACTACTTTTAATAGTGGCTAATGATTGCACTGCATCAAGACAAATACAGCAACTCACTAAGAAAAAGTTTAATGTAATATCAATAGCTATCTTAAGGCAATTTTTTAAGCTGAAAAAAACTCTTAAATTAATCTGGGAAAGTAAATGTGTAAATTTTAGAGAATAATTATGACTAATTTTCCCTACTAGTTAAATTTAAAAGTATTCTGTAAAGATCTTGTAAATAAAATGTTGAGTTACAGAAAAGACAAATAGATCAATGAAACAAAATAAAAAGTAGGCAAACAAATTTACAAGGAAATGTAGGATTTGGGGAAATATTGAAGCTTCACATGTTCATTAAATAATATTGGCATAAGTGACTATGAATTTGGGGAAAACAACGTCAATTATTTATGTTTATCATACCATAAATTTAAAAATGGACTAAAGTGCTAAACAATAAACATTTCAGAAATACAAAACATTGGTAAATTTTTAGAAATAATACAGATTGTAGTGGAAGTTTCTTCTAGACATGATTCCATCAGAAACTTTAACAAAGAGATTGTGGTAAATGGACATAAATTATCAGACTCCAGCACTGTGTAAGAAAGCTCAGGGTAAATTTATCCAGGAGAAACATCTCATGCCTGTATTTATTTTTCTGGAACATAATAATTCGAAATCTTTATTAACCATTTAAACATATTAATAAGTTCTCTTTAAAATTCATAATTTTTGATTTTTTTCTTGAACTCACAACTTCCATTTCACTTCTGCTGCTAAACTGCAGATTAATATATTGTCATTTTATGCCCATATTGTCACAAAATGTGTATATACACTAAAATTTTCAATTTTGTCATATAACCTCTATTAAATTATGTTTCTTAGAGATTTAATTGTATTATAATTGTTATTAGTACACATTACTCTTGGCATATGCATATTATAAATTTAATAAATAATTGTAATATAATTTTTTTCAGAATGCATAGCTTAATAAGGCTATATTTTCAATTATTGAACTTATAGATAAATTAGTTATTAGAATATAATAGCATATAATCAATTATATCCATATTTTTCATTTTATCATTTGAAGTATTAAAGAAATTTGTTTATATGTATTAGTTGATAGGAACAAAAGTGACTTTTGTTAACAATGTCACTTCTTTAAACTCCTTCAGAATTTCAAGCTGAAATAACAAAATCATTTATAATGAAAATTATTGTTTATTATAAATTGGTTGGCAAGTAGATTAGGTTCTCCTTCAGATTTGTTGAAAGCAAAGAACAATAAACAATATAAATTACACAATTTAAAAAATCCAGTTATTAGTATCATTTACTGTCTTAATTTTGGAGAGAGGTATCAGAAATACTTTGCTAAGACTTTGCAAATAACAATTTATTATAACTATTAATCCACCTCTTCAGTGCACCTTCTTTAAACTTGATATATTAAAAAATGGTTTTGTATCCGGTAAGTTCTATGTGCTCCGCCGCGTTTATTCTCCTTTTTTGTTTACTCTGCCCTCTGCATTGTTATGCTGACTTGTATGGAGTAATCAGTGAGCTTCCATTTCTTCTCATTTTCTGATTGTAGCTAGTACAAAGTCCAGCAAATAATCTGAAAGTAAGAAGTAAATGAAGTCAGTGTATTTTTTCTCCTGGATCTTTCACTTTCAAGGCAGCTTCAGATTGGCTATGCTCTCAACCGAACAACAGTGCTCATTTCCAAAGATCCTCGTTCGATTAACTTTTCTTCCAGATATCAAAAAGCTTTCCTGTCCTTGTGCTGTTGGCTAAGCAATGAGGACAGCTTCATTGTTGCTTGACCCTAGTGCCTATTGTAATTTCTTTGGTTATTCTATAACTTATTCCCCTTATTAGCCCCTTTATAAACACACCATATTCAAAAATCCTAAGTTTTCCATGCTGTTTGTTGCTATCTTGATTGATACAAGACTGATACAGAGTTGGAGTAAAGTTATTAAATATTTAAATTCTATTATAATTTTATTAATTTAATATTATAAATGTTCTTATCTTTATTCTTTCTTTATTTTTATTTTTTATTTTATCTTATTTTAGTAAAGACTCGATTTTGCCATGTTGGCCAGGCTGTTCTCCAGCTTCTGACCTCAGGTGATCTGCCCACCATGGCTTTCAAAGAGGTGGGATTACAGGAGTGAGCCACTGTGCCCAGACTAAATGTTCTCATCTTGAACTTAAAATATATTTTTTCAAGATATATTGGCACTGCAGATTTAGCTCTTCCGATTTGTGCAAACTCTCCACCATGCAGCTCAATTAGCAAAGCCAATTCTCATTTTTAAGCCAAACATCTAATTCTTTATTTTTGTCACATAAAGTTTTATTTCATTTATCAATTTACATTATTGAGTTATGCTTTTTCAGGGATATTATCTAAAATATTGAGAAACAAAAAGTAGCACACATTTGCAAGATGGATTAATAATGCCATGCACTCAATATTGAAATGTTGTACATCTGATATGTTTATTCATTTTAAGTTATAAAAATTAGATAATGTATCAATATGCTGTTTCTCTGATTAATTTTTAATAATGCTATACAATTTGTATAGCTAAAATTAGTTATTTATGAACCAAGAAATATTATAAAATATATAATATTCCTTTAATAAACTTGTATGTTTGCATACATTTTTGGTTTTCAAATTATTAAATAAAAGTCAAGAATAAAAATCAGAAATAAATCTGTTTAGTTTTTTATACATCACCATCAAATTTTCTTACATATTTAATGAGAGAATCAAGTATCTATTGCTAACACTAATAGGTCCAACAGCCACAATAAAATTCAATTTTTGAAAATTTGAAGTAGAAAAAAACTTAAGACCTCTATAAGCATAAATAAGAGTCAACTATTTATGATATGATTTGATAAAATAAGCTTTAACTTCCTTATTAAATGTGATAAAACTACAAATGTGAGATAGCTGCCTGTCTCACACACACACACACACACACACACACACACACACACACACACACAGGGAGAGAGAGGGAGAGAGAGTTTTACATTGATAACTGACATTTTACCTTTAATACTACTTTGATGTACAACATCCTGGTTATGTTTACAAATATCTTTTTTACTGTAGTACATTGATTCTGCAATTTGAAACTGCTTTCATTATAGGAAGAGTACTGAGAATAATTGCTTCATGCTTTTTTTGTGGTCACAGAAATCTTCCTTAAGCGTGATGCATACTTTGCTGGTAACCAAGGATTGGAAGAGGTGATGTCATTAAAAGAAATTTATCATTATACCTCCACCCACTTTACCATATATCAGATTCATTATATTGTATAAATGGTTAAACGACCTCTTTCAATGAGTATATTTGCATGCTTCACTCTTTAGAGGCATACTTATAGCAGGAGCATACCATAAGCCCTGTGGATTGGGGATGCATTAATGTAGTCATGGTAAAGTTTCTTTCCTTAGATGTGTGGGGTTTATCAAACAATGCAATTTTATGGTTAAAGCAGCCTCAAAAATCTAAAAATTCATTTTCTTAAAACTACCTGGCCAGACTATATTTGAAAAGCATGTAATAAAAGATTTAACCTTAACCAAAGAGAGTTCTGGCCTCTGGGCTCAGCTACTGGAAGGTGATCTGTAGGCCCTTGGACTGTTTTTCCTGATAAAGGTGTTTTTGTTTAACTAGGAGCCTTAGTCACTGGATGTCCAACAGTGTGAATTATGATGAGACCTTTGGGCCATATGGTATCCCTTCAATCTCCAACAGTCCATAAACTAGAGGTCAGCCATGTGGGCACTCAAACATGGGGTTCCAGTAAAGTCTCTAGAAACTAAAGCTCAGAATAGCTTCCTCGGTCGGTGATATTCTATGCATATTGTCACACACTGATGTCAGGAGGATAATATATCCTGAAAATAATAGAAATCTCACATTTGAAACACTCTCCCACTTCATTGAACTCTGCCCTATTCATCTCTTCCCTTGGCAGATTTTATTCTGTATTCTTTCTCTATTATAAACGGTAACCATGAATATATCATAGCTTTCAGTGAGTTCCGTGGGTCTTTCTAGTGACTTGTTAAATCTGAGAGTAATCTTGGGACACCCCAAGCATACAATTGGTGTTTGAAGTGAGGATGGTCTTATGAACCGTATCTTCCAGCTTTACAGAATATGTCTCACGTTTCCCCTTACAGATACTCCTTCTTAAATTAGATTGTACTACAGGGACACTGAATGCTTATACAATCATGCCTAACATGGATTCTTAACATGGAGTCAAAAAGTAATCATGAGTTGTCCAGCTACCAAAGAGATCATAAGAGATAAGGAGGTTTTCTCAGAGGTGTTGTTCCCAGAAATACCAGTTACTGGAGGAAAGAAGTGCTGGGTCATGGAGGAGACTAAAAGAAACTGCTTCCATAGCCTGTGCTACTGGTGTTTATTGACTGGGGTATCCACTAGGTGGATGTCAACATGGAAACACACTATGGGCTACAGGAGCCTGGTAGCTCCTACCATTCCAAGGTATGAAACCATGAACATCTGGGGAAAAGGGTAAAGATGCTTAGTCTACAAAATATTGTGTCACAGAGAAAACCTGACTCTCCAGTAAGCGTGATGAACTTGGATGAATTGTAGACAACCATAGAGACTTGAGGTTGTAGCCCAGCTCTTAGGTATCAAACAGAAGATGTGGTCTGCTAAGAGAACACTGTAGTGCTATTCTCCAATTGAATTTTATATAAAATTAGAGCTTCATTCATCTGGAAAATAATTTACTTCTAGGGTTGACAAATTATTTAACACCTTATAATTGAACTAAAGTTTAAAATATATATATGCATATATAATACATAAATGCCAGAAAGTAATTTTAATAAATTTGTAATAGTATTTATGATACACTGTGAACTGTACATTTGGCAGAGTTGCATAAATGTCTAGGCAAAACAATATAAGCTTAAATATAAAATAAAAAACACAAAGTTTTTTAAAAATTACCTCACATAATAGATTGTGACTATGCAGCTCAGTCTGTGGTTGGACATGTTTAACTGTTTCTAAAATGATTGATTTTTGGTAAGAAGCAGCTTACTTTGGGCTTACAGGGGGAATCAGAATGCTGTATCAACAATAAAGAATAAGTTAATAGTATTATAAAGGAGGTTAAGCATGAGAAATACTTACTAAAAATATATGGATTTTAAATATGTAAAATTAACCCAAGCAGTGGGTATTTAATCAGTTCACAACTTAATAATCTTGTGACAATGAATCCCTTATCATTGTTTCTATATAATAAAGCACACTTGTACCCAGTATTCATGATAAGTTTTTAAAGTGTGGAGACACTGATGAAAACCATACCAGCTTATTTTCAAAGAATTCCAGAGTATCTAGGCTGAGTGGGGAAAACAGCCACTGAACTTGATACTCAAGGAGGGAAAAAGCTGAAACTACATTGCTAATCAGCAGTAGTTGATATCTGAATACAGGCTAGGAGGCCGTGTACTAAGTGCATTCCATGTGTTGCTTCACAGGATGCAAAAGCTGATGTCAATTATGATAACTGATCAAAATGGTAAATTATATGAAACATGATTTAGTAGCACAGTATGACTCTTTCTTCTACTCTCCAGTGGCAGGAAGAGGGTATGGAGAGGTTGTATTTGCATATTTAGGAGTTGCAAGCAAAATGATCTTTGTCTTTTGATAAAATTAAGAACTGTATAAATTTCAGTGATACAAGGGATTACAGCTACCATATCCTGGCTGCTGGAAATTGGCTTATTTTAATTGCAAGATCATAACCAGACATAGTACATGTTCCTGAATGAGGATAGCTGATTTTTGCAATGTTCTCATTCCTAGAAATATAATGCTGTGAATGACAGCAGAATGACGAGGGTGGCTAAAGAATAGCTCACTAAACAGGCTCAAGGCAACTGGTGAAGAAATGTGACCCAACATTTTAACCAGGTTCTTAAATCATTGCAGTTTGGCAGTAGACCTGGGGGAGGGAGTGGGCAGGAAGAAGAAATTTTTAAAAAAAGAAAAGACGAGAGACAACACAAAGACCTGCAATAATAAAGCTATAGGCATTTCAAGTGATTTAAACGACTCTCTTTCATCAAATTGCACCTGTGTATGCAAGGCAGTGTTGTTTAACATAACAGTAGAGAAGTAACTGGGAATTATTGATAGCTGTTCAGGCTCTTTCCGAGGAAGGCAAAACTGAGCACTTCTCCAACCTGCAGCCTTATCTCTGTGAAGCAGCAGCCCTGAGAACAGAGCTCACTCCATCTGTGTTATATTCTCTGATCTTAGCAGCTGAGGAACAGCAGGTGATAGACTTCTAACCTCTAGGGAGTTGGAGCAATTAGGCAGCAAAGAAATAAATACCCAACACAAATAGCTCACTGCATCACCACTGTTTACCTATACAGAGCTCTTTGGAAATTATGCATTATTAGTTTCAAATCATACACCTTAAGTTACCTGCCTGGTGTTTGAAGTTGTTGTAATATTTGGCTGGAAGCCTGAATTTTGGTGGGTTATAGATTCCAACTGTTTTATGAATATTGTGCCTTTGACACTTGTTTCATTTCATTATATTAGACAATGCTTGTTATTTAACATACTACATTATGTACAATTTGTCCTGTGTGAGTAAGCCTGATGTTTTGGTAACCATTTTTGTAAACAGTAGAAGGAAGAAATTTGAAAGAATTCTTTACTGAAATTTTATATTATTACTTGTTCCGTTGCTATTGTTGCTTCAACAAGCTTGGGGTTTTTTTTGTTTGTTTGTTTGTTTGTTGCCTATTGTTTGCTCTGCTTAATAGAAAACAGGAACAGGTAGTTTTACTTCAACCTAACTGGCCTGATAAAGTTTCTGATTTGCAACAGGAAAATGATACTGGATCCCTTGGAATTGATGAGGGATGCATATAATTCTCTTAGGTACTCATTTTACTGAGGTTTCCATGGCATGTAAAAATAGTCAGTGTTTTTAAAAGGAAAACAGATTACTATTATGTTATATAAAAATTCTGCCTTACAAGTCATGGACAATTAATAAATTAACAAATGAGAAAAGGAGAGGAAGAATAGTAGTGAGCTATAAGTTGGTGAGTAAAGAATGTAGTAACATATGTTAAGAATGTGGTATGGGTCGGATACAGTTGCTTACACCTGTAATCCCAGCACTTTGGAAGGCCAAAGCAGGTAGATCAAATGTGTTCAGTAGTCCTAGGTCCTAGGCAACATGGTGAAACCCTTTGTCTAACAGAGACAAGATCATGCCACTGCACTCCAACCTGGTGACAGAGTGAGACTCTGTCTCAAAAAAAGAAATGTGATTGTCAAGTCTTTTCTCTAGCTGAATATGTGTGTCTCACCAGCTTTTCTGCATGTGCTATCTGTGAAACTGTGGAAGAGAAAAAGCTATTTCTTTTTCTCACCCATCACTAGGTTCATGACTGTAACCCCTATAACAAAAGACAATTTACAAGAGAAAAGTATACAAATGTATTTAATATAAATTTTATGTAATGTGGAACCTTCAGAGGTGAAGATCCAAAGAAACAGGGAAAACTGTATATATTTGGTGCTAAACTGATGAAGAAGTAGACAGTTGTAGAAGAACATGATTGGGAAAAATGAAGGTATGATCTAATAGTAATAAACTGTGGGGAAATTTAGCAAGACCTGTTTGTTCTGACAGAACCAGAATATTTCACCACAAAATATACTTCTCTGGCAGATTTCTATATGGCTATTCAGAAGGGCTGCAAACCACAGAAATAGCTCAGAAAAACTGCCCTTTTGTATGAGAGATTTGCATTGTAGAGAAAATCTGCATTAGTAAAAAATATACCAATCCAAACAGACTCTTAGTGAGGCTCCTCTTATCTGGATCTTGGAAAGATTAACTCACTTAAAAAAAAGATACTAAAAGTCTTACACTTTTAAAAAGGGTTTGACAGAAAAATTTTACCGCAGGCCTCCATGTGTTCTTTCTGAGAGTTGCTACCTGTGAGATTCCATCTGCAATACCAAGACTGCTTTGCTCACCATGCCTTTCCTCCTCTCTCCCCCACATATCCTACCTTGCCCCGTTCCTTCTCTAACCTCTGTATAGTACAAAAACGTCAGTTATTTGGCACTTCCTTTGGTTCTCATACTCTGTGTATGGCACCTGTATCTATATACATGTTGGTAAAATTTGTATACCATTTTTTCCTATTAATTGTTCTTTTTTTCATTTCTTTTCTTTTTTTTAACACAGGTATTCTAGCAAAGATTTTGTGAGGACTGAGAAAAAAATATTTTCATTTTTCTCACCTTTGGATTTGTCTTGGTATTCCTGTGTGATATTCCTTTCCTCTGGGTATATTGCAGAAATCTAAAATGAGAGTCTTATGACCTGTTTTCAGGAGAAGGTCAGCTAGGTTTTATGGCCTGCGCCAGGAGACAAGGTCAAGGTGAATTCCTATTAACTGTTTCTATATCCTGCTTCAGAAACATCTTCCTGTTTCTGTGGTTTGATGAATTCCTTCAGCTTAAAATACTCATTGTGTCAAGGTGCCGTATTTTGGGTAGCATGTCCTGAACCACATCCCTGTGTGAACTTGGGCAAGTTCCCATCATCTTAGAATATATCTTAGTTTTGTCATGTGAAAAATATGCAAAAGGAGATTAAGTAGGACTCTTGTGAAAAGTAAACATATAAACTATATTATCAACCTATTATCATGCCTGGCACATGTTAAGTGTTTATAAAATACCAATTATTTAACTACCTAAAGAAGACACCAAGTAAAAAAACCAATGTATCTAAATTACAAGTCCAGTCATTCTAATCCTAATTCTTGGGATTCTGTCATGGAAACTGTCCATTTTATTTACTAAAGATGATTTGTTGTGCTATTAATAAAATTTGTACATAATACCTATCACTCTATGTTTATATTTTTCAATATTATTCAGATTTCAGGGAATAGGACATGGCATTCATAAGGGAAATAAAATCTGTACTAAAATTGGGCAACATTTGGCAGATGAAGAGACTTTTGATGTCTTTTGTAGTTTTGGCGCACATTGCCTATTTGGGATTTAATTCAGGCTTCAAAAATTTAATTTTCTTGGAAGTAGTCTTTTTAATATCCATATCCAGAGACATTGTTTTGTAAATAAAACTCTTGACCTTTTGGAAAAAGTTGTTCTGTGTTTTTGTTGTGTTATATATTAAAACTGTTTTTATGCATAGTTTAAGAAGCAATTGTTAAAAATTTTAAAGGGCTATTGAAAAGTTTCACTTGTGCACCCATGAGTTAATTGTTGACATTTAACCGCTAGTGCTTTATTTTAGTTAGCAAAATTTTAATTTTTTAAAACAGACCCTATTTCTGTGCAGTGTGTAGAGCCCACTCAGCTGATTTTCAATTTTTTATATCTCAGAATGAGTTAATTTAGTCCACAAATTTCTCAAATGTTTCGAGATGATAAAAAGGTAAAATACTATGATGTTAGTGAGTGAAAATGGGGGCATACTTTGAAAGTGAAATGATGTGAAGTTGGAAATGGAAGTACTCTACGAAAGCATCTTTGCCTACTTCAGAATTCCCTAGGATCTTCTTTCTTTACTCAAAAAGCCTTTAAAAGTCAGATTAGGGAAAGAAGACCCATGAGGTCACTGTGCAGAGACAGTGCTGGGGAAGTTCAATTCATTTAGGCCATTCTCATGAAAGTAGAAAGGACTAGGAAACCCCAGAGTCAAGAAGAATAAATCTCTTCCTCAGTGCCATGACAAGCCATGTCTGAGCCTGATGAAAATGAAGAAATGTGTTCTGCAGTATACACTTACGTAAAAGATTAGCAAATTTCATTTGTTGAAACAAATGAAAAAAAGTAATAAAAGTTATTAAATCAAAAACGGTGAGCACACACAAAGGCCTGCATTGCCCCACTTGTTCCTACACTATTGTCAACCCTCATTGACCACCCCATGGGGAATGTGACAGTTTTGTGGCCCTGACTAGAACCTAGGGCTCATTGGGAAAAACATATTCTTAGCAGTGTTGTAAAACAAACAAGCAACAATAGCCTGCCTTTAATTTTCTTCACCATGGATTTTATAAAGGATTTTTTTAGGACAGTTTTATATTCACAGCAAAAGTGAGAGGAAGGGACACAGAACCAATGTACCTCCTGCTTCTACACATGCACAGCGTTTCTCATTATCAAAATTCCCCACCAGAGTGGTGCATTTTTTACAATTGATAAACCTACGCGGACACATTATTAACAGCCAGAGTCCAAAATTTACATTATTGTTTACTTTTGGTGTTGTACATTCCATAGGTTTGTACAAATTTATAACGGCATGTATCCATCTTTATAGTATCAGAAAAATGATTTTCACTGCCCTGAATTTGCTCTGTATTTCACCTATTCATCCATCCCTCCCCTCAACCTCTGGAAACCTCTGTAATTTTTTACTGTCTCAATAGTTTTGCCTTTTCCAGGGTGTTGTATAGTTGAAATGATACAGTATGTACCTTTTTCAGATTGGCTTCTTTTATTTAGTAATATGCATTGAACTGTCTTTCATGTCTTTTTGTGGATTGATAGCTCATTTCTTTTTAGCAATAAATAATATTATGTTGTCTGGATATATGACAGTTTACTTATTAAGTTACCTACTGAAAGACAACTTGGTTGCTTCCATGTTTTGGCAATTATAAATAAAGCTGCTTTAAACATCCATATGCAGGTTTTTGCTTGAACACGTTCATAGTTCCTTTCGGTACTTTGTAAGGAGCATAGCTGCTGAATTATAGGATAAGAGTATGTTAAGAAACTGCTAAACTGTCTTTCAAAGTGGCTATACCATTTTGTATTCCCATCAACAATGAATGAATGTACCTGTTGCTCCACATCTTCATCAGCATTAGGTGTTGTCAATGTTCTGGATTTTGGTCACTGTAATAGATGTTTAGTGGAATTTCTTTATTTTAATTTGCATTTCCCTCATGATGTAGGATGTGGAGCATATTTTCATATGCATATTGCTATTTGTATATATTACTTGCTAAGGTGTCAGGTCTTTTGCCCATTTTCAAAATTGTTTTTTTATTGTGACGTTTTAAGTGTTCTTTGTATATATTGAATAACGGTCCTTCATGAGATACATCTTTTGCAAATATTTTCAGTCTGTGGTTTGCCTTTTCATTCTCTTCCCAGTATCTTTTACAGACTAGACGTTTTAGTTTCATTAAGTTTAGCTTACCAATTCTTTCTTTCATGAATTGTGCTTTTGCTAGTATATCTAAAAAGTTATCCCCAAATCCAAGGTCATCTACAATGTCTCCTGTTTCCTTTTAGGAGTTTTACAGCTTTGCATTTACATTTAGGCTTTTAAATCTTTTTCAATCAATTTTTGTGATGGGTATAAGGTTAGTGTCTAGATTTAATGTTTTGCATGTGCATATCCAGTTACTCTAGCACCATTTGTTGAAAGGACTATCTTATCCATAGTATGTCTTTGATCCTTTGTTTAAGATTAGTTGAGTACATTCATGTAGCTTTATTTCTGGGTGCTCTCTTCTGTTCCACTGATCTGTTTATCTATTCTTTTGCAAATATTAGGCTATCTCAATTACTGTTGATTTACAGTAAGTCTTTATGTCAATACTGCCAATCCTCCAATTTTATTTTAGTCCTTCGATATTGTCTTAGCTATTATGGTTCTTTTTCTTTTTTATATAAGTTTTAGAATCAGTTTGTCAGTATCACCAAATGACTAGTGAGATTTTGAAAGGATTGCACTGAATTTACAGATCAAGTTGGGAAGAGGTGACATCTTGATAATATTGAGTCTTCCTGTCCACAGATGTGAATTATCACTCTAGTTCTTGAATTCCTTTCACCATTGTTTTGTAGTATTCCTTGTACAGATCTTGTACATTTTTTTGATTTACACCTAAATTTTCATTTTTATAGGTGCTAATATAAAGGGCATTGTGTTTTTAATTCCAAATTCCAATTTTTATTGCTGGTATATAGGAAAGAGATTGACTTTTGCATATTAACCTTTTGTCTCACAACCTTGCTATAATTGCTTATTAGTTCTAGGAGGGTTTGGTTTTTTTTTTTTTTTGTCAATTCTTTAGGTTTCTCTACATAAATGATCATGTCATCTGTAAACAAAGTTTTATTTTTTCCTTTCCAATCAGTATACCTTTTATTTCTTTTTCTATTTTATGTCACTAACTAGGACTTTCGGTGCAATGTTGAAAAGCAATAGGGACAGGAAACATTCTTGCTTTGTTTCTATTTTAGTGCGACAGTTTCCAGGTTTTCACCATTAAAGGTGATGTTAACTATAGGATTTTCATAGATATTCCTTGTCAACTTGAGGAAGATTTCTTCTATCCCCAGCTTACTGAAAGGCTTTGTCATGTATCAGTGTTGGATTTTGTCAAATACCTTTTCTGCATCTATTGATACAATTTCATGACTTTTTTAGCCTGTTGATGCAATGGATTGCATTAATTGATTTTTGATGTTGAACCAGCATAGCATATCTGGGATAAATCCCACTTGGTTCTGATTTATAAATCTTTTTATATATTGGTGGATTAAATTTGCAAATACTTTGTTGAAGTTTTCTTTTGCATCCGTACTCTTTTCCTATAAAGTCTCTCTGGTTTTGATATCAGGGTGATGTTTGCCTCGTAGAATGAGTTTAGAATTACTCCTTCTACTTCTATTTTCTGAAAGAGATTGTAGAAAATTGATATAATCTCTTCCTTCAATCTTTGTTAGAATTCACCAGTGAATATCTTTGGGCCTGATGCTGTCTGTTGTGGAAGGATATTAATTATTGATTCAATTTCTTTCATAGATGTAGGCCTAGATTGGTATTCCTTTTTATGTGAGTTTTGGCAGATTATGTCACTCAAGGAATTGAGGCATTTCATCTAACTTATCAAATTTATATGCACGCAGTTGTTCATAGTATGCCTTTACTATCTTTCTGTTGTCAATGGAATCGTAGTGATGTTCCCTCTCCCATCTCTCATATTAGTAATTTGTGTCCTTTTTTTATTTTTAAGTTAGCCTGGTAGAGATTTATCTATTTTATTTACCTTTTCAAAAGTCAGCTTCTGGTTACATTGATTTGATTTATTTATATCTTATTTTCAAATTCATTTATTTCTGCTCTTTCATTGTTTCTTCTCTTCTGCTTATTTTGAATTAAATTTTATCTTCTTTTTACCACTTTCCTATGGTAGAAGCTTAAATTATTGATTTTTATATCTTTCTTCTTTCCTATGTATTCAATGCAATAAATTCTAAGAACTAATTTTACTATATCCCACAAACTTTATAGTGTTTTCATTTTCATTTATTTCAATTTTTTTCACTTGTTCTTAACATTTTTATTTGATTTTTATGTTATTGTGAAATGTGTTGTTTTGAGGTTTTTCTAGTTATCTTTCTGTTACTGGTTTTTAGTTTAATTACATTTTGGCTTGAGAGCAGACAAGGCATCATTCTTTTTTAAAATTTTTGTTAAGGTTTCTTTTATGCCCAGGATGTGTTCTATCTTAGCTAATTTACCATGTGAGCTTGAGAAGAAATATATTCTGCTCTTGTTGGATAAAGTAGGTCTATGGATGTCAATTATATTCAGTTGATAGATGATGCTATTGAGTTCAACTATGTCCTTAAGTTTATTTTCTGCTTGTTGGATGTGTCCATTTATGATAGAAGGATGAAGTCTTCAACAAAAACAGTGGATTAACCAATTTCACCTTACAGTTCCATCAGTTTTTGCCTCCCATATTTTGATACTTTGTTTTTAGGCACATATACATTACAGGTTGTTATGACTTCTGGAAGAATGAACCCTTTTACCATTATGCAATGCTCTTCCTTTTAAATTAATATTATTTTTAACTGACAAATCATAATTGTACATTTATGAGGTAAAATGTGATGGTTTGATATGTGTGTACAATGCAAAGTAATTAAACCAAGCTAAATAATATAAGCATCATGTACTTTATCCAACATTTTTAGGGTGAGACATTTGCAATGTACTCTCTTAGTTATTTTGAAAATAAAATACATTACTGACCATAGTCACACTGCTGTGCAGTAAATGTAAACACTTATTCCTTCTATCTGAAACATTCTACCTTTTGCCTAAAACTTCCCATTTTCTCTATTCCTCCCCCGCCCTCCAGCCTCTGGTACCTATCATTTTAGGCTCTACTTCTATGATTTCAGCTATTTTAGATTCCAAATACAAGTGAGACCATGCCATCTGGCTTAATTCATTTAGCATAACTTCCTTCAGGCTCATTGTTTCAGATATGTTTTCTTTTTATAAGGCTGAAGAGTATTCCATTGTGTATGTGTACCACACTTTCTTTATCCATTCATCCATTGATGGACACTTAGGTTGAATCTATGTCTTAGCAAATAATGTTGCAATGAATATGAAAGTGCAGATGTCCCTTTGACATATAGATGTCATTTCTTTTGGATATATATTCATAAGTGGGATTGCTGAATCATATACTAGTTACATTTTTAGTGTTTTTTTGTTTAACAGACTCATCATACTATTTTCCATAATGATTCTACTAATTTACCTCTGATACCTCTATTTGCTCTGAAGTCTGTTCTGTCTAAAATTAATATACCTATTCCTGCTTTTTTTTAATTAGTGAGATCATGGCATGTCTTTCTCTCTCCCTTTACTTTAGTCTATTGTCTTTCACTCTTTTATGGACTTCTGTGGTTTTAACTGAACATTTTATATAATTCCATTTCTCTCCTTTCTTAGTATTGGTAATAAAGGTATTGATCGACTTGCGACCTATGCAACTTACGACCATTCGACTTTACGACCACAATCACTAGCCACGACTGCTCTGCGTCTGGCAGCGCAAACGTTGCCCAGCTGGGCATACGACAGTGCTGACCAGCTTCTGGCAGCACTACCATCTCCGTGTGCACCGTTTCAACTGTTATCCCAGACTCGGTACAGCAATTTGTGTTTTGTGTCTTGGATATTTTTCATCAAACCCCTCCCAATAAACTTCTTATACATTTCGAAGCAATGGACCCAAACATCGAACGATTTGCAAGGATTGAATGGATGGTGCACAATGTGTTTCGTCCGTATCATGAAATTTATGAAGAAAAAAAGAAACATACAATTCAGACAAAGCTCACCATGTTTATGAAAAAACCAACTCTGGTAACCCCAACTGCTACCTCAGATGACAACATCAATGATCCGCAGCCAAGCACCAGCGGCCAATAAAATGTTTTGTACACGTTTATATATTTTGATATGTTTTGCAATTGGGAAAATGTTTCCTATGGTATTTTTTACACCTGTATTTTGTATTTTTGTATGCCACCTGTATTTTGTAATTTTGTATGTTTTGCAAATATTAAACCAATTGTACTGGTAATGCAGTGTTTTACTTAAACCTGATGAATGTAAAAATAAGAAACAAAATGGTGTAGAGATGATACAAATGGCATAAAATGAACAAAGAAAATTGTTATATATAACAATAATGAAAGAAAATTATGATAAAATATGACTTAAAGATTTTTATAACATCATTTCACAGTACTGTACATATAGCCTACTTAACTTACGACCAAATCGTGTTACGACCGGCCTGTCAGAACGAATCGTGGTCATAAGTCGAGCACTAGCTGTACTTTTATTAATGTTTTTTGGAGGTTGCCCTAGAGTTTGAAATATACATTTACAAGTCCACTTTGAAATAACACTATACCACTTCATGGTTAGTGCAAGTACCTTATAATAATAAATTTAAAAAATCCCAATTCCTCTCTCTCTCTCTCATCTCTTTTATCATCACTGTCATTCATTTCACTTATATATATATGTGCACACATGCATATATACATATACATAATAAAGTACATTATTGCTATTAATATTTTGAACTAATAATTCTTAGATCACTTAAGAATAAGAAAAATACATCTTTATTTTAGCTTCACTTTTTAAAAATTATCTTCCTTTCTGGATGTAAATCTGAGTTTCTGACCTACATTTGTCTTTTATCCTCAGAAGTTTTCTATAGAATTTTTAATTTTTTTTTTAATTTTGACAGACTTCACCATAAAACTATTGAGCCTAGTGTTTTCTATAAATTGTTTTTTGATTACTTAAAGCCATACTTTATAAATTTTGGTAAGCTATATTTATCTATGTATTTGTTCTTTATTTTTCTCTTTTCAAATTTTTTAGCAAAGCTTTTTATGGTTCTATTTACTCTAATGTCTGTTTTGGTAAATTGTGTTCTTCAAGAAATATGTCATATGAGTTGAAAATTTTATTGAGATAATATTGTTTATAATATCCTCATTATATTTTAATGTCTTTAGGGTCTATAATAATATCCTTTTTTATTCTGGACATTTTAAATCTATGCTTTCTGTGTTTGTTGATCAATCTTTCTAGAAGTTTAATACTTTGCTTCATCATTTCAAATAATTTGTTGCTTTGTTGATTTTTCACTTTTTCATGTTTGTTCTGAAGTTTTTAATGTTGCAAGTTATGCTCCCTGGGAAGCAGACTATAGGTAAAACATAGCACAGGAGGTTGATTGGATAGTGTTCTTGGATTAACACCAGGAAGGGAAGGAAAGGAAGCAGAATTGAAAGACAAAGAATTTGGACTTTGATCAAGACCACCCTGGCCAACATGGTGAAACCCTCTACTAAAAATATAAAAATTGGCTGGGTGTGGTGGCACATGCCTGTTGTCCCAACTACTCAGGGGGCTCAGGCACAAGAATCACTTGAACCTGGGAGGCAAAGATTGCAGTTGCAGTGAGCTGAGATCATGCCACTGTACTCCAGCCTGGGCTACAAAATGAAAAAAAAAAACAAATAAATACATAATGACGGGCTTTGATTCTTTGAAACAAAAGCTTATTTTAGAGTTCTGGAAGAGGGTTAAGTTTTTAGCATTTCTCTGATTTATTGCAACTGGACCAGAACTTTTTACCCCTGCATCCATCAGTATTGGATGTGAGATACTTCAGATAAAGTATGAAGAAGATGAAAAGATGAAGGACTTCCAGTAAGGCAGTTCTATTAGGCAGCAGGACTCCAAGAGTTTCTATAATAAGCATCTTAGGAAATGGATAGTGAAGCACAATGTCCACTTCAGTTAATCCATGCTGCTCGAATCCATGTGTACATATATGTTGGGAGGAGCTTCTCCATGATTCTGGGATGTTGTATTTTCTTTTTCTTTCTCTTGTGGAAACTTATTAAATGGAGAAACCACACAACTTCCAACTCTGTGTTAGATTTTCGGGCTGCAACTGATATTCAGTATTACCATTCTTGTTGTTGACTGAATGTTGCATCCCTCAAAATTCATATGTTGAACCCCTACCTTTCCATGTGATGGCATTCAGAGAGAGCCTTGGCGCATAGTTAAGTTTAGATGAGGTCATAGAGTTGGAGACCCCATGACAGAATGCCTGTCCTTATAAGAAGTGAAAGACCAAAGCTGTCACTTTCTTCCCACCACGGGAGGACACAGCAAGAAAGTAGCTAGCTAATAACCAAGAAGAGTGCCCTCACTAGGAACTGAATCTGCCAGCATCTCGATTTTGAACTTTCCATCCTCCAGAACTGTGAGAAATAGAATTTTTGTTGTCTATGCCACCCATTATTTTTACAGAGGCTTGAGCTAAGATACTTCTTAGTTATGCATTTTTACCCTCTTCACCCTTAAATAGCATCTCTGAGGTCAGGTGGCCTAACTTTGGAAGACTTGATGTTCATCCATGAGAGTTCTATAGTCACAGTCATTATGCCCTCTCAATCCTGGCTGCTGTATTATAGCATTGATTCTCAAAGTTGTACAAGAGATTATCAAAAGATACCAAAGTGGATTAGTGTTAAAAATATTCCTCCTGCTTTATATTCTACAAGAGCTCTACCTTTTCCTGAAGTTCAGATCAATTAGCCATATCAGGATAGTGACTTCTCTTCAAGTCACTTTGAAAATGTCCCCTGAAGTACACTGGAGGTAGCCATAACTTAAGTTCATTGAAATTTTTGCAGTGTCCCAGAGTCAATGTATTCTACCTTTGTCAACCATAACATCTGCACCATACAGTCCAAACTGTGGGTCTGGAAAGCTCAAACTCTATAAATGAGAAAGTGGGGATCATGTTAGGTAAGTTGTTTATATTTCAAGCCCCTGATTTTAGACTCATGTATTTTACCTACTGACAAAAATCATAATATGGTTGTTGATTTAGAATACACATCCTAAAAATATGACATCCCATCTCTGTATGGTCTCATGTCTGAGCTAGGCATCCCATTGAAATCGTTAACTTAACATGCCATGCTCCACTACCTGCCGCCAAGTGGCTAATTGGTCTCCATGTAGAATGCTGCTATTGGAGAGACTCGGTGTTTGTGGACATCATGCAATAACAATAGATAAATTTGTGTTGGAGAGAGGGAAACCATTCTACTGAATTTATGCATAGCCTTCCTCACATCACCATGGTTACCATGTTTACATGCCCCTCGTGCTCACAAATGGGTTGTGTGATGGTTAATATTGAGTGTCAACCTGATTGGATTGAAGGATGCAAAGTATTGTTCCTGGGTGTGTCTGTGAGGGTATTGGCAAAGGTGAATAACATTTGAGTCGAGGGATTGAGAAATTCAAACCTACCCTCAATCTGGGTAGGCACAATCTAATCACCTGTCAGCATGGCCAGAATAAAAGCAGACTGAAAAATGTGGAAAGACCAGACTGACTAAGTTTTCTGGCTGCCATCTTGCTTCCATGCTGGAAGCTTCCTGCCCTTGAACATCAGACTCCAGGTTCTTCAGCTTTTGGACTCTTGGACTCATACCAGTGATTTGCCAGGGACTCTTGGGCCTTCAGCCACAGAATGAAGGCTGCACTATCAGCTTCCCTACTTTCAAGGTTTTGGGACTCGGATTGGCTTCCTGGCTCCTCAGCTTGCAGACAGCCGATAGTGGAAACTCACCTTGTGATCCTGTGAATCAATTCTCCTAATAAACTCCCCTTCATATCCTATTAGTTCTGTCTCTCTAGAGAACCCTGACTAAAATGGGCTGCTATCAACTGGACAAGTCATTCCGTCAACTAGGTTTTTTAGTGCTTCAATACCTCTACCACAGTTAGTGTGCACTGATGAATGCAAACATTTGTATTAGCTAATACATGGTCTGGTACAGCATCCTCAGATGTGAAATGTGCTGCCTCCCATATCCAAAAAGGACTACCAAATGTTATGCTTCCATCTTACTGCAGTGCAGTAAGAAATATTTTGTCCTTTACTTTGTAGATGTCCCATCATGCCCTCAACCACCCAACTCCTAAATTTTACTGTTAGAATCACTGTCAGTGATTGTTCGTTGATATTCTGTTGTTCCAGCACCATTCTGTTTCCCATTAAATTACACTGGCAAATTTGATAAGAAACCAACTAACTCTATATAGTTGTAAACATTTCCAGAGTATGTTATTATTTTAATCTAAATGTGTGTCCTACGTCAGTACTGCACTCCATCTATTATTGCAGTATATGATAAGTCTTGAAATCTAGTAGTGTCGGTTCTTCAACATTTAATTTTTAAAATCACTCTTGCTATTTAAAATTGTTTATATTGCATGGAAATTTTATAATCAGCTTGCCAATTTCTACAAAAGTCCTGCTTAGATTCTAATTGGGATTTTGCTTGTTCTGCAGTTCAATGCAAGAAAATTATCTTACCAGTATTGAAGTTTTCAATCTATTAATGTGTTACATATTACTGTTTACTTAGGATTTTTTCACTTTTCCTGCCTTGTTTTGAAGTGATATTGTGGTTTTAAGTATTTTTTTTTTAATTTCTACTATTGGCTTAGTAACTGTGTTCCACTTTTTGAT